GATATTTGATATTAATAAGCTAATGAAACTGTTGATATTGCACACAGTTACGTTGTATTATAAAGCAATTAGAGGAGCTGCAGTGTGCAGCACAAATAGTTCTTCTTACATGTACGTGTGATGAGACTAATGTAGACTGGTCTAAAATAGATCGAACAATAATTATACATTGTATCAGTTTTCACACGAGGAAATCTTTACTATTTCATAACACGATTCATATCATACAAATGTAGGGAGATTAATTTTTTCCGTTAACTTTGTTATGTCCAAACTCCAAATTAACTTGATCCAGAGGCAGAAGATTAAGGTCACCTTCACAGAAAATATGCACATCGCCAACATTTTTGGGATAAGATCGTCCGACAATATTCGACAGAAATCCATACGCCAAACATGTATCTACTTTTACCAATAGATTAAAAGCATTTTGTATATCATATAGAGTTGAATAGCAAAGCATTATAGGCGAAAAAAACTGTTTAAAATTAAATTGTGACTGCTGAATACCCCCAGAAACCACACCGAAGCCATAATAAGTTATAGAACTTATGATTTAGTGACTTGCGCCTGTAACCTTTCCTTAACGTTCACCCACTCTTTTATTAGAGTTATTATTTTATAATATTAGAGTAGCTACTCCCTTACAATGGAGTAATTACTCAACAAATCACTGTAATTTATCTTATCTCCACCATTGTATTGTAATTCTTCAAATACTTAACTTCTACCCTTCACAAAGAGAAGAGCCGCCATAACATTTAGAACTTGGAACAGTTAGAACTTGGAACCCCCTATTATATATTATATATATCTACGACCTAATTTTTGTCGGCATAATATAAATATTTGTCATATTCATGAGTTCATTAAGAATCTTCTCACCTCCGTTCTCCTTACTTACCGTTGTTAAAAGGTTTTCTTTTAAACACGTACAATTTTTTTAAAGTTTTAAGACCACCATTATATTATATCAACATCCTCGCTACAGGACGAACAGAAATCATATTAAACATTTTCGCTATGATTTTTTTAATCCAAACTTTCAATCGATTTAAGCTTTTAAGGATACTCCCGCGAATCAAAGCGGCAGTTTATACTTCATATAGTTATTTCAAATTATTTCATAAGTGCGGACTGCAGCTGGATCTATAAGACAAGTAACATGACGAGACACGTTTAAATATCAATTTCATTAATTTCAACACTACTATCTTTATTCTTTAATCGTACCAACTAATTTCAAACAATTTACAGGAGGATCAGGAGTCTGTTCAAGTTGCACACCCTTGCTCACCATGAAGTAGATAGTAGGTAGTTTCTCTCCTTGAGAAAACCAATAATATAAAATATATTATATATCATAAAAAACTGTGATAATATATAATATCATAATATGTGCATGATGATGGATATCGTTGGATATGTATCATAAATGTTAACAGTTGTATATCCCGGTGGATGTAACACAGCTGTCGAACGAGTCAGTCAGCTGATATTCTCAGTCACGTGATATTAGATAAGTAAGATAAGCGAGGTATAAGATGATATACCAGATGATAAGCCTCACAATAACAATTAGACTCAGGAGAACACTAAACCCGGCTTGTATCTTCAGTTATTTCTAGGATTAGCTACTGACCGCGCGGTTTGCACAGTGAGTTTTACAGAGTAGTAAAATAAAACTTAAATGTCAAGCCAATGAGATGGGATACTATAAATTGCTCGGATTCTAAGATTAAGCTTGTGGAGTCAGCTCTAATACTCTAATTTACACCCGACTTCAGAGCCATTAAAAATGCAAATGAGAATATTGGGTAACCCATTCTAGTGGCTGAGAGCTGCGTAACCCTAACTCTCTCTCTCTTTCTTGATGACTACTCAGTACTCATATGAGTAGTCATCTCACTGGTGGAGTAATTACTGCAGATCACATTCGGGCTAGGTCACGTGATCATACCTTTCCTTTGTTAGGCTGATGGTATAATTACCATTATAATTACCATGATTGCTTAATTTAAAGAGAATCTAACCTCCAGGCTCGTACAACAGTGGCGATGTCAGATAGAGAGTGATTGTTGATGAATAATGGACACTACAAACTACACATTATCGGGTTAGTCGTCTTTTATCATGTCAATGAGTGGAGAGTCGGACTGAAGACTTGAGTTAAACTAGTAGTGTAGGTGTAAATACATTAAATAAAAGGCTGTGAAAAGGTTAGATAGAAGCAAGTACAGCTGATATTTGAGAATGTCGGCGGATAGTAACATGAAGTACCAGGTATGCATGTACTAATTACATATTAGCATACAGCATACTAGTTACCATCTAAAGAATGTCTTACTACCCAGTCTGCCCACGTACGGAAGTATTCAGCACTGTGACATTTTAGTTGTTACACAGTGTTGAATGCTGAATGTGACATGTTAGTGGTGACACAGTGCTGAATGTGACATGTCAAGCTATGAATATTATGAACTGATATACGCGCTATACCACTGGCACTACAGTAAAATCAGCATTCAGCAAGGCAAATCATTATCATATTCAGCTCTTTTGAATTAATAGGACGTTCTATTATTGCGCTATATACAACTGGCTTCCCTCGATATTTTACTTAACTGTCGACATTAATTAAACATTGGATTTAACTGTAACCAAATCATGTGGACGATTTAGATATTAACTTAACTTCAAGTTTAATAACTTTAAACAATTGTCAACAGGCCAGTAACTACAGCCGCCAAAGATCATGGCGCTGTTTTTATGAACGAAGTCTCTGAAGAATATTAGCTAGTGTGACGTCTAAGTGTCCTTTAAGTGTTTACGCACTAAGCCGCCAACCGGCCGTAACATTAACTGTTAGCTTGCGCTTAATAGATAGTTTAATTTATAGGGGTTTTCAGAATTTAGACATGGATAGACATATTCAGAATTGGGAACTGATGGTCAAACTCTGTAGGAGTAATTTTGAGTGTCCTTAAAGAGAAGGGATATTTAATTATCTATCATCACTATATTAGGCATTATGTCTTATATAATTAATAATATATATATGTATAGACAGTTATTAAATATAAAAGATATATAATATATCCCTTAATAAACTCTAACTTTTACTTGCAAACATCATTGAATCCTTGTTGATTCGTTTACATTAACAAAGAACGATACTCAATAATTAATAATTATAACTATTTGCCTCCCTAGTATAATTTTTTGTTAGTTAGTTAGTAGTATCAGTCTATCATACCACTAATCAGTCTGCTGAGGAACTCAGTATTATAACACCAGGGGCCTGGTTCCCAGCATCATTTCAAAACTATTTATTTAAGTTTCTGTCTAAAATATTTCTAGTCGTATTTCGTTCTCGCAACTCTAAGTCACTTGCACTGTTACTTTACTAGGTACAGTTGTGTCAATCTCATTAAAACACTAAGTGGCATTATTTATGTTCTTGTTACGCATTCTCATTAACTCTTAATGACTTTCAGGGGACTCATACAACACTAACAAAACACTTAGTGCGGTTGTATGTTCTATAATGGTGATATCCAGGGAATTACCAACAGTCTCAATAACTACACAAACTGTAATGAAGGGCAGAGTAATAAGTATAAACTTGATAATGACTTGAACTTTAACTTTGGAGATAAGTAAGTAATCGATCATGTTGTAGTCACTATGTCTCACTCTGTAATAACTTTAGAGAGAATCGATCCTGTTATACTAGGTTCCGTACAGACTCAACTCTGCACCCGTGTCAATATGTTCATTATATGCAAGCCTCTTGATTTATACTTACAGTCGATCTGATCCATTCAGGCTAATAATACCCGCAATCCGCAGGAGTTCTTTTGACCAGATAATTGGGAGAGCAGCTAGTACTCGTTTCAGGTATTCATTTATTATGAACGTTTCGTAACCCTGGTATAACCTAATATAACCCTGGTTTAATATACCCGAGTAGTTGCAGTTATATTGTATGAGACCTTGAGTTTAAGTCGGATCAGCTACGTTGCTATGTATCTAGTCATATATATATACTGTAATATTGTGTACGTACTGTAATTCATACTACAGATGCATTGCACGAATTAATCGCTCTCGTAGAGGACCGGCCAGGGAGCAAATTATACAGTGACTTGGTGTGGCCTAGAGGAATCGTTATACTTGAGAAATAATGTCGTGTCACTAATACGTCATCAGAGAGTCGCACAACAATTTGATGCTCACACTAATTTTGGGTCACATTCACAACAAGGATTAATGCAATGATTTGCAGAACCTTTACGTAAACTTTACCTTGCAATGACAGGATATTATAATTTAAAAATATAATTCACGTCACTTTTACGAAATGACACCGCTAACTTCCATGCAGGATTTAAAGTGAGCCACGAAGTTTATGTAATATGTATTGATTTAAGTGCAGTGTATAAAATAACATGGTGACAAAAAGGGAACTGATGGAAATGCAGGATAATGGGCGTTATGCGAGTTTATTGGTTCACGATTCAGATTGTTCAGAATTCAATGTTTGACGGGTTTTTGTTTTTGCGACCGCACATCTCTTTTCTGAAGCACCGTTAATATTTGTCACATAATCACATGGTAGATGGTTATAAACGTTGATTTATGAGAGATTAACTTGATGGCAGGTAAAAACGTACTGTTATCAATTATATTGGAGGATAAGTTAAAATATGCTGTGAGAAGCATATATTAAGTAAGTTAAGTAACAAGTAATATTACAAATTCCTCGAGTTTACTTCTCACCTTTTAACTATTGGTACGCTACAATAATATGTTCTATAATTTGTGAATATGTTTGTAATTCGCTGTTCCATTTTCCAACCGAGATGTACGTTCATTGCTATTAGTTAATGCAAATATTATGCTAATCTGTTATGCTAATCTCAACAGAAAATTAGAAATGTTTTAACTATTTCCAACTGCTTGTTTATTAGCAGCAATAATCCAACCAAAACACTTACTAGATGTTCAATGGCGTCAATAATCTGAGCGAAGTACGTTCTGGCTTCATCCTCGTCAAGTCTTGCTTTCTCTTTACTTGACACTTTAGCGTACAGTTCTCCGCCTGCAAAAAATAAATCGATAAGAAAAATATGTCAACAAATAAATTAGTAAAATTTCTATGATTATAATATGATAGAGAATTTCAGAGAGATTTTATTGAAAATATGCAAACTTTAGTAAATCAAGTACTGGACTCGTTATCACGTACTGGCATGTCCAAGTTTCGTCCAAGTTTGAAGAAACGTGGCCTTGACGGTGAATTACTATCTAACTATAGGCCTATTAGCAATCTCTCATTCTTGTCAAAAATCATTGAGAAGTGTGTATCTATACAGCTCACCAGTTATCTTGAGGATAACAACTTGCTTTCTAAAGTTCAGTCCGGCTATAGGAAGTTTCATAGCTGTGAAACTGCAACAACCAGAATCCATAACGACATCTTGATAACTATTGACAAGAAAACTAAAGTTGTTCTTTTACTTCTAGATTTGAGTGCTGCCTTTGATACTGTCAATCACCCAAGATTAATCAAGAAGCTAAGATCTGCTTATGGCATTACAGGCATTGCTCTTACATGGATCAGGTCCTACTTGGCTAACCGTTCATTTTGTGTCAAAGTCAAGGATTCGTCTTCCTCATCAACTGTTCTTGAGATAGGTGTGCCACAAGGTTCAATCCTTGGCCCCCTGCTATTCATATTGTACACCAAAGATCTTGAGAACATTGCAAGTATGCATGGGTGCTGTATTCATTTGTATGCTGATGACACCCAGCTGTATTTCACTCTTGATTCTGATGACCCATCACAGCTAGAGCACAATATGGAACACTGTATGTCTGATATCAAGAAATGGATGACAAACAATTTCCTTCAACTGAATTCTTCTAAGACTGAAGTCATCGTTATATCCTCTAAATTTGACTCAAAAAATATTCCAGCCTCTCTACAGATTGTTAAGGATCAAGAGCCACATGTTGTTAGTGGAACTGTGAAGAGTCTTGGGCTGTATTTGGACAGTTATCTTTCAATGAGTGATCAGATTACGTCAGTGGTTCAAGCATGTAATATTCAGATCAGAAATTTGTGGTTTATTGCATCAAAACTGTCTTTTAACCTTAAGATTCAGCTTGTTCATGCTCTAGTACTCTCTAGAATTGATTATTGCAATAGCGTATATTTTGGACTGAGCTCTTATGATTTAAGTCGTTTACAGAAGGTGCAAAATTCTGCTGTAAGATTTATTTTCGGGAGAGGAAGAAAGGCACACACTACTCCACTACTTAAGAAAGTTCATTTTCTACCAGTTAGATTTAGAATAGATTTTAAGATTGCCCTACTTGCCTACAAGTGTTTAAATAATATAGCTCCTCCTTACTTAAAAGAGTTGATATCTCCTAGGCAGCAAAGTTTTAAAAATGTACGTCTTGATAATGATTATTTTTACCTTAGTTTTCCGCCCTCTCCTAACTATGTAAACACAGAGAAAGCTTTTAGTCACTGTGCAGTTAAAGTATTTAATTCCCTGCCATACGACATAAGATCAGCTGAGTCAGTTACATCTTTCAAGACCAAACTTAAAACATACTTCTTTTCTCTAGCATTTGATTGATTTTGCATTTACATAGGTAAAATGAACTTGTCATGTCTAATTTTCAATTAAACTAAGCTCAGTTAATGTAAGAGCCGCTTTAGAAAGCACTGGAGTTTATCTCCAGGATTAAATTATATCGAGTTATATGATTTAGCTATAAGGCGGTTTATAAAAGTTGTATTTATTTATTATTATTATATGTATTATAATTATACATATCAGTCTAGTGGTCAGGCAACTTGAAGCGTTCCTAACCGCACCTGTTTTACACTAATTTATCTTTTAAAAGTATTTTAACCGACATTGACGTTCACAAAAGTTTTAAACAGCTTGAGACAGCAGATTTCAAGTATATCATATTGTGTTAAACACTAAACAGGGGTTACATCTCGACCATATCTACCATAATATCCAGATTGTCGGAGTATGGGTCGTTTGGGTATGTTCAGCACTTTTGGGGATTAAAGTTCTGTAATTTTGTCTGTGTTGAGAATGACTGGATAAGTCTTATTAACCCAACGATTACTTAATATTTATTTGAGAAACACGTATGCGTTTGCTAATAACGTTGGTCGTACTATAAACATCAATAAGAGACTGATACAATTTATAAAACAGTGAAGGCTTACTCTAACCAGAATTCATTTCTCACTTGAATTTTCAACAAAAGAACAAATTCAGAAAGCCTACTAGTTTATATTGTCGACACTGGTGTTCGGTCTACTGAAGTATTTAGACTGAGAACAAGAAACGAGGGTAAATAAGAAGCCCTGACAGAGTTGCATTTCTGAAGAAGGAGAAGAGCAGCTCCGTGAAGGATTATAACTTCATTTCAAGTTAGTGTAAACAGTCTGCTACAGTCTACTCTAAAATTAATCGTGTCTGGCACATCGTGGATCCAGGATCGTGCTACAATTTATGCTACTTTTTAGTTTATTGGCGAATTAGTTTACACTATTTAGTATTTCGCAGATTCCCCAGAACTTTTCAACAACATCGCAGAGTGATTTTGCAATTTTGTCTCGATATGTAACTCTCCATTCCCTTATATAAACACCACACAGCCCGGTTAGACCCTGCTACACAGACATGAAACCCACAACAACAAACCAATCATGAGGGGATGTTCTAACATTTCTAACATTTCTAACATTTCTAACATTTCTTACATTTCTTACATTTCTTACATTTCAAGATCTTCACAAACGGAGAGGAGACTGGTAGACAGTTTCTGTCCTATTAAACCCTTGCTATACACAGGACACTACAAGCTATGTACACACAGGTTTATGAGTGTTCAATAAGAGCACTTTAAGCAGTTGGAGGTGGTAGTACCACTACCATTACATCTCCCAAACGTATCGGAATTGTGCTGGTCTGGTTGGTGATGATAATTTTTTATTCGAACACTTTTTAAATCATACTTCCGCGTGCTCCTAAAGTTAAGATTGATTCATTCTTTTTAAAAGACAAACAAGTGTTAAAGCAAATTTGCTTGATTTACCTACTTTTAAAAGATTTGCCTAATTTTAAAAGCAACAAATGTAAAGCAAAATATTTCTGTCGAATCAATCGAATCTTTATAGAGAAGAGCTGCTATAATCTCGCAAGATTTTAAAGAGTGTGGGTGATATCAGGACTATTTAAAGACTAAAAACCCCAACAATGAGTCCAGTAAGTCCACGTGATGAGACCCTACAAGAAGGACCGGTACTGGAACTACCACTACAGACTCCCACCATCAAACTATACTCAAGGTTCCTACTGGTCGAACTTGAGGTACTCTAGACTCTGGAGTACCTCAAGTCTGGAGTCCAGACCGAGACAGACTGTGGTAATACTCCCTAATATTATTCGAGTAGCTACAGAGGTAGTGTAGACCAGCTGAGATAGAGCACTATGTGGTGTTGTTAGTGTTGTTAGTCCAACTATCTGGTTAGAGTTTATACTTGGTAACACTTGCTTATGTTCCTTTTAAAATTATATCTGACAAATTATCCTCTTGTATTTTTCTTCTAGACAGGATATTGAGGTTGGGTGTCAATATTTCTAACTAAATGTGTGCTATTTCAACTTGTAGCCTACTAGACCACTGTTAAACCAAAGTGCCCGTGTAACCTACCACGTTTGCAGAAAACTAGCTCGGAAATGTGGACCACACTTCGGATAACCTGACTAAGCTTCTAGCCGATATTGGATGTTTTCTGTGTGTTGCTTTCTGTATAATCCATTCTTCTATTGAGCTAATACATCAACTTTCCTCCGTTACCAATTAACAGTTCTCAATAAATCCGGAATCGCTTTGATATTTCATTGGTAGCGGTATATCATGACAAAAACCCGAAATTAATGATGACAGCTAGTGGAGCTGTTCTCCCGGCTGAACTCTCCTCATTTTCCCCTCTGAAAGAGTACGTCTACAACCCACAGAAAGACAGTAATATCAATGACACGGTAGTCCGAGACCTGTCAAGTGCTAAGTACCAGTAATACACAGCCCACAATAATCTCTCTCTCCACCTCGATATTCAACATTTTCTGACATATTTTCTTGACGTGTCTGCTGAGATTAATTACGCATGTGAACGGAGACGGACAACAACAACACGCGTGTTATATTAATTAACCGTCTTGTAACTTAGCGGTGGATTCATCAAGTAATCAAGTATGCACGATTCTAACAGTATGAAGGTACGCGGGAGAACACGTTACTGGCATATTTATAGGAAAAAAACACCACGTGGAAGAAGGTGTCGTGCCTGATTAGCATGGAATGCATGGTCTACGGTGGAATTCGGTTCGCATCACAGTAAAGTGGTCAAGACAGCGGTAAATGTTGTTGGAATTTGCACTATTTATCAGTTTATCGAACCTATTTAAATTGTTGAAATATTCATGAACTGTCTAAACGTTTCATGAATAGTCAGTGCAGATGAGTCCATATAATAAACACATTTAAAAGAGAATTTTACAGACTCAAACGACAGCGTAGAGTACCTACCAGGATACCTAGAATTAGCTGTACAACATGTTCCAGATATCAGAATTAGCATATTATAGCTGTAACATGTTCCAGATATCAGAATGTTGATACAACTTGGCACGACAAGTATCATTGTAAGATTGTGCCACCCTGCATGTTACATTGGACTCGTTGACGGTGTGACGATGTACGGCTGCGTTTCTTTATTAAAATATTTTTGAATTTTTTGTTAAATTACATCAAGATTTACAATTTACATGAGAAAATTTACTTATAACTCAACATTTTGAGACTCGGATTTACTTTATTTTGAAAATCAAGGTGAACTTAACTTTATTAAGTTATAACTTTGAAATCTGTCAATGTTAAAATAATCAGGTAGAATCCTGAATCTATTCTATTTTTTCTACCAACTGTAGAAAACAGGGATCACCTCAGACATTATATAAGTACAAAAAAGCTAAAACACTGTTAGAAAGTTGCTAA